AACGATTGTCCGGTTTCTTTGGAATACTGATGTAGGCATCCAAAGTCAGATTTAGGTCGGTTTCAAATTTGCCTATGGGCAAATTCAAGATTGACCTGAATCCCAGTTTAGGCCTCGGAAAGTATAGATATAAGTTATGTCATTTGAAAGCTATCATGTTTGTTAAAGTTATACTTCCGACAAGGAACAGTATCGAAGCTATTTTACCAGAATGAAATGATAACAGACTGATGTTTATACGTATATAGACAAAGTGTAGTACGTTGGAAATCCTATTTTACTGTCTTCACTGTCGATAAATATATAGAAATCAAATGATGGATGGCAGATTGTGGCTCTTCACATACCAGTGTTGAATAATCTAGAAGCTTCATCCGACATCAGGAGATTCGGTTGAAATAACAGGGCGTATACTAGTGTCCTGCGAGACAAGCTTTTTCGTGTCCTGAATCCCGTTTGTCCGGTTTATCCCGTTCATCCAAATTCGAAAGATAAGGCTTCGATTCGATCGTATTAACGGCTGTTTGACAAGAAGAACAGCTATCAGAATTTTGACGTAACTTTTTCCGACTCTCAGATATAGACTCCCAGAAGATGTGCTGTCCAATTGTTAACAATATGGTATGTTCCGTTTTACCTTTGTAGTTTACATCGTTGTTTCATACAAAATTTGGTACATTATCAACCCTTCAGAATAAATTTTTCTGGTCCTCCGGTCATGATGCCTTTTCTAATTTTCTCCCACTTCATGAATAGAATTAATACCACAGCACCGGTAGCATAGATGAGAAACTGAAAACTAACGACAAGAAATCAAGAAAAAGATAATGAAGATGGTATTTACCATGATAGTAGTGTATAACGTTATCAAGGTCACCTAATCCAAGTTGTGTTACTTTTTATTTGCTTCATTTGGAAAAGTCATATATTAGAAAAAGAAAACCTTTTCAAATGTTCCAGGATGTCATGTAGAAAGATATTAGTTTTTGAGACAGCCTTTTTCTGTGTTGTTCCGAATCCATTTGTCCCTTCCCCAAAAAATATTCGGGACGATCCCGTTTGTCCCGTCCAGCAGGACAAACGGAATTTTTCGAGATTCGGGATTGTTTCGCAGGAAACTAGCGTATACATAGACTTTTGACTATTTTCTCCTATTTATCTAGTTCCTATGGATAGTCTGTTGCTTATTCCGGTGTATGTTTTCTGAGAATTCCCTAGTCCTTTATATGACTACCGAAACCAGCTAATTAGATTTCAAATATCAAAAGTAAAACATACATCAAGACGGCGCAAGTTGTTATTAAAGTATCAAATATGACAGAATATAGTAATATTCTGAGTCTTCTTAGAATCAAATTTTACTCAAAGTAAAACTCCCAGGTCGAGTGTTCCGATTACCGGAACTGATAATTTCCTTCGTTTTCCGGCAACGGTTCCTAGGAATTTCGTTGACTTTCGATTGGTTTTGTTGAGTTCCGATGATTTATTTGCCACCAGATTCCGATCAGAATTTCGACGAAAAATTTTGATGGCTTCCTCGCTGGTTCTGACTGGAATCCGGTGACAAAGAAATCACCAGAACTCAAAGGAATCGGTAGGTTTCGACCGAGTAGCAATGACCTGGGCTCTGATATCGGAATTGTATTCTGCACCAAAAATTGATTCGTTCTGTTCATGTCTCAGAAAGTTCCAGCTAGTTTTTTCGTCCCAATATTCAGCATGGATACCGCCATTCTCAACAAAAAATAATTTCAATAAAAAGTTCGTTTTATTCATCTCTTGATCCGATCAGCTGTGATAGACAGATGAATTTTTTATTAGAAACACGAATTTGCCTGAGGTCATTATAAGCACGATAATTCTTTAGTTATCTTCATCGGCGGTGTGGCCTTTTCAATTTCCTATGCTATCGTACAAGGAAAAGGAGCCGGAATGATCAAACTCTTGGCTAGGGTAAACACGTGTATCCTAAGAAGAACTGAGACTTATTATCAACATCAATCTCACTTTATTGTAGAGCTACTTCATCTATCTATATTGGGTATCCATCATTTGGATGATGTTTTGTATGATTGACATCAATCGTCATCGAGGTACTTCGAACAAATTGGATTCGAACGATGCAGATTTGACTAGTGATGTTCGTCTCACTCGAAACAAACGTATATCAACGTCGACAGGAGCAAACAGAAAATCATTAATTGCAACCTATACCGATTTGCAAGTACTCCATGAGTCTGAAGAAGATCAATTAGATAATAACGAAGATAATCGATCGGAGATGAATCTTAATGAAGTATCAACAGACAATCAAGATATATCTACTTCTGATGATCATGGCAATAAATTGAACTCTCTGAAAAATCTCTCGTATCAATCATTGACAACGAAATCGTCAACAGATATGACACGAGGCGTCCGGGGTCGACGGAGTACTCTCAATGCAATCAAACAACATGATCTCAGAACCTATGTACGTCGTCGAAGGGACAGCATTGTTCAACACATTATCGGCTACAACTACGATGACAATTCTACCGTTGGTGGTCTCTATACTCGCATAGGCATCGGAAGTAAGTTGAACAAAAACAAAATAGGCGCCACTGCTGGTCATCTACATGGATCATTTTACAGGAACGATGCTTCATTTGAATTTTTCGAAACTCTGAATAATAACAGTCTATATTAGAGAAAACTGTGTATGTAATAGAGATGGGATCCGTTCGTATTTTTTCCGAATTGAACTGAAAAATTTCTAAATCGAACCGAACCGAATAAAAGCTTAGAATAAGCTAGTGCGTGTACACTGTCCCATATACCAGTATGATTTTTTAAGGACCAATTTCATCAACACTGTAGAAAAGGTACCATTTTTGGTTACAACACAAAAACTAGGCTTTTTTGATACGAAAACATTATGTTCCATTTTTTAAAAATCAATATCTACTTGAATTTTTCTCATTGTCATGGACTTCAAGCCTTTGAAGTTTTTTACTATGACTTTATCAGAACTTGCCGTAATAAATTCTTATGGAAAGAAAACAAAGAGCCAATTCTAATGACAGATGAGCTAGAAAATTGTGTAACATATTTGTTGCTACAGCTATTAAAGTTTTTCAAGAATCACGAATCACCTGCTTTCAAGAAACACGTCAACAATTTGATCGTTTTGAAACCTATCAGACAAATGATTGCAACGCAACTATGAAAGACCTAGATGATCTGAAATTCATAATAACGAGGAAAATTCAAGTAAATATTGATTAAAAAACAGTGCATGTTGTTTTGATATCGAAAAAAGTCTAATTTTTTGTATTGTACCTAAAAATGGCACTTTTTCTAGTGTTGACGAAGTTAATCTTTAAAAAACCTTCCTATTGTCGCGTTCTTTTTAAAAACACCAATCACTATTTTTTGAATAACTTTCGATTATTCCTAGCTATCGAGCTCGGTTTTTCACCATTAGATAGAGAAAACTTCAGGAGGTCTATCTGTATAAGATTCATTAGGGTGAAAAAAGTTCTTTATGATGAATATCTAACTAATATCTATTTTGTTGTCTATTTTCGCAACTCTGCATAGAGACCTAGGCTCAAATTCACCTAAATGTAGCCGAAAGATCCTGGATTTCCATCAAAATATTAAGAATTTAAAGCATTCTCATATTGAAAACAATGGCAGAAAGAACTGAAAATTTTATCACGGATACAGCACCAATTGGACTATATTGTAATGTAATTTGTACCTGGATCTCTATGACAACTTGCGAAATTAGACAAAAATATATCAATTACAGACCTACTATGAAAAATGTCTTTGACCCTAATGAGTCTCATACAGATAGAAGTCTCCAAGGTAGCTCTATCTAATAGAGAAAGGCCGAACTTGGTAGTCTGAAATGGTTGAAGGTTATTCAAAAAATTGTTGCTGCCATTTAAAAAAAATCGGTATTCTGCTTTCAAATAGAAAAAAGTTCTGGATTAAGCTTGATCAGTACTAGAATCATATGCATTTATACAAGAATCATGACTTTTGGGACATATGCAAAATTTACAAGTCTACCATAATCAATTCCGATTACTTCGAATTCCAGCCAATTTTAGGAATTGGCGCATCTCTGAACCGAACCGAACCGAACCGAACCGAACCGAACCGAACCGACCTGAATTTTTAAAAAGTTCAAACCGAACCGGTCCCATCTCCGGTATGTAATTGAAGTTGTAAAAGCAAATCAGACGGCTATAAGCCTTGAACGTATGGGTTCAGTTCGCATACTGTTTGGTCGGAGTTTAGTTTATGGAAGTGTAGAAGAGTATACATCTAAATTTTCTGACTGCCCAATAGTCTAGTTGCTAATGACCTGAGAGTATCATGACATAATCTGCATCAATCGTGATCATCACACAAGCGAAAGCACTCTTCGCAAGACGCATCTCATCGTTATCATAAATCGCACTCGCAAAAGAGAAGCCATTATGTCACCAATCTATGATAATGTTAACAAAAGTTATACGAACAAGGAATGAGTCTGGTATATGGCATTATCCAAACTTCAAAACATATAGTCATGAAAAACAGTTTTGAATTTGCAGAAAATTCAAATAATTCATCAATTCGATTATTTTAGTTTTTTGCCTTGGCACAGTAATTCATTCGGCTCTATCGATCCTAAGTAATTTGGAAAATCGTTTATGTATACGATGGATATCTTTAATGGATAATTCCTCACGATTGCTCTTCAGCTTCATTCAATTCTTCTTCATTTTCAAACATTCGAACGTATGTTCTTCTGAAATAATGTAATATTAAAACATAAGTCGAACATTGAGTATATTCTTTAGCTCATCATTCGAGCCCATCAGAGTTAAGCTCAATTGACAGTCATGCATATTGTGGTCACTAATTTGTGTGTATGGTAGGTTCACTGTTACTTAAATGAGACAGACTTTTTTCATTCTCAGATTTCGATGCGAACATAAAGGCTCAAAAATAGAAATGTGAAATCTTTTGATTGGTTTTTTTTACAGGATTAAATATACGATTACAATAAAGACGAAACGGACCGTTTGGTTTCCCGTAATTTCCCTCGAATTGACATGGGGATGCACCGATTTCAGTTCCACCGGCTCTGATTATTCAGACAGGGGTGCATCTCTAAGCTAGGAAGATTTTTTATTCATTTGTAATTTAGCTGATTCTGAAGTTTTCGAGATAACTTCCAATTTGGATAATTTCATAATTTCCAACATTGGTCACAAACGATCCTTATTCCATTGGATACTAATTTTTCGAGATTTATGATGATCAGACAGTGTTTCATGACGGATTTTGATAGGTTTCGCATGGTCGTCGTTGAAACCAAATCGCAGATCGTGGAAATGAGAGAGCATGAAATGGCTCTAGCACAACACAATAGTACCGTTAGACACTTGATTAACGGTGAGCACTCATCATCATTTTTTTTATTCGCCTTTAACACACTTCTCCGAATCGAAAAAGGCAGTCAAAGCACAATCAACCTTTCTCATCGTCTACTGAGCTCCAATCCGGAGTGCTTCAAGCTACTCGCCACCGGTTTACAGGTTACTACCTTCATCCACCAAGAATACATGAGACTGACACCAATTCTATATCCCTGTACAATCGAATTTAGTCTCATGTGTCTCACAGTAAGTTCTCCTAGTTTTCGAGCTCGTCGCTATGCATCCTAACTGATTCTACCTAGTTGTTCTATCTCATTTGGGAAAATATCGGTAAAACATTTCTCCATAAAATATCAGATAAAGAATCGACAAAGAACGTTTTCATGGTCAATTGCCAGGCATCCACGAAAGGCCTCTTTGTTGGATTGATCGTTTTCTCCTATACGATGCTTTCTATCATTCTCTATGATGTTTTACGGCACAAATTCGATGATTCTATCCATGCGACGCTACCTTCATTGGTTCATATGCATCGCAATCATTCGCATCCTATTCCTGCAAGTACAGCAACAATATCCCATCCAACACTCTACGCCAATGCCATTCTTGAAATCGGTAATTTGTGTGTGTTGACGCTTTCGTTATGTGCCACGGTGTGGTCATTAATCAAAATTCGCAAATTGGACTATCGCCGCACTACAACACGTGAGATAGAAGAGAAAAAAAAATGTTCTGATGTTGCTTTGTTGCATAGGCTTCGACGATGTTCTCATTATTGTGTCATTGACAGGCATCTATTTATATTCGATCTTCAGTGCTTTCGCTATCATGAGCAACTTGACTTCATCAACATGGATCGTCTATGTTAAATTAGCAGTGATTATTTTAGGTATGATACGTATTGGATAAGAGGATTGAGATTAGTTATCGACAATTCCGTGAAATACTTTACTGAGCTCTGAGTCAGTCTCGTTTACAACTAGCATGATATGTGGCTTAATGGTTTAGTCTTTTGTAGAGTTTGTTGAAGGTACCATTCACGCATTGTTCATTCTCGTTGTATTGCGCAAACGTCTGAGACCAACGAGCAAACATAAATATCCGGCACGTGGAATGATCACTCTACTGATTATACTTGATCTGAGTCTCTGGTTCCAAAAAACGACAACCACGACTAAACATGAAGCTAATACAACTCAACTGGACTTCTACCACGTTATTCCATGGTCGATCATTGCCGCAACCGCTACACCTCTTCAAATATTTTTTCGTTTTCATGCATCCGTCTGTCTTTCAAGTGTATGGGGAGATATGTACCAGTTACCGGTCTATGAACCAGTGTCTCCTAGTGACTTATGATCCTTTTTTTTTAAATGTATGCCATTGTGTTTTATCGTTATTATGAAGCATATATAGATGTAGAATGAACTTCGTTGCTCATTTTCAATGAGACGAATAAGTTGTATGCACAAGCGAATACACATGCGAGGATAAGCAAGAGCAGCTATTGTTGGCTTCGACTTTGCTGACAAGGTAGTCTCATCAAATGGCTCGAATTCGGATATTATGATCAAGAGCGCAAAACTTCATGCTAGATGAAGATTTTTGATACACTACTATTTTGCATCGCTAACGAGGGAACATATTTGAGTGCTGCTCCGGAGAAGAGATTTAAAACCATTCTATTCAATAGAGACCTTGATGAATATCTCTAATATGAATGCCTTAGCTGCTATCATTTAGATCTGAAAAAAAATGAAAGAATCAAACTTTTTCATTTTTATGTCTTTTCCTGCTATCAAAGCTGTATCCTTTTGTCACTTATATAAGATTTCCAAGAATGATTTTTTTTCATAGAAAAGTCATGAAAAATGAGCCGGATGTGATATGAAAGAGCCGTTTATCTGTCACGAATAACAGTATTACATCCCTTCCTGACCATGTATCAAGAATAATTATCTGTATATGTCAACTAGCACAACTAAAATAGCATTTCCTGTATAAGAAAAGTAAAATGAAAGCGCATGCGGTGATATTTGACTTATTCCGAGTGAAATCAATTAATAATGCGCGATCAAACGTTCCCAATTTTTCGCATTATTTCTGGATCATCATATTTTATCTTATGAAGATTCTATAATATCACAGTCCATATCATGTTCATATAGCGCTGCGTAAGGCATGTCGTAAACAGTCACTCTTTTACGATTACGATATAGAGTTCTGTAAGTATACCACTTTTTGACCGTATATCTCAGTTTATGGACTACTTTGCCTGAGACAAGATGATATACATGTTTCTTATAGTGAGGGTGTGGGTGTGGGTGCGGGTGTTTGTAAGATCTCCTTTGAAGAAATTTTGATTCTAGCCTCACTCTAACGGTTATGGCTAGATGATCAGTATACTTAATCCTGATCTGCAACGGGAACGAGAGATCTCACGTAAATACAGTAAATACTCATATCGACTTGGTTATGTTGACAATGAGATGAGTGAGTTGAGAATATATATATATGCGTTTATTAATATGAATATAACCATAAACATATAATAATTATATATTAATAAAGAATAATATGAAAGGGGAAAAGATAAGTAAAAGATAGATGAGGGTGTGGGTATGGGTGGGTATGGGTGGGTGTGGGTGGGTGTGGGTGTGGGTGGGTGGGTGTGGATGTGGGTGGGTGGGTGTGGCTGAGGGTGTGGCTGTGGGTGTGGCTGTGGGTGAGGGTGGGTGGGTGTGGGTGGGTGTGGGTGTGGATGTGGGTGGGTGGGTGGGTGTGGCTGTGGCTGTGGCTGTGTGTGTGGCTGTGGGTGAGGGTGGGTGGGTGTGGGTGTGGATGTGGGTGTGGGTGGGTATTTGCTTTATTTATAGCCAATTTCTTATTAGTTCCAATAATTCTAGGAGAATATTCATATGATATAGCTTCGCAATAAGTCCTTCGTGTCATACCAGGTCATATGCTTTCTTATAGTCTACATAGATGCTGAGTGTGAGGACATTGACTGCAAGATAGTTCTTGACCTTATGATAAATTAATAATACTCTTGTTTGTGGTAAACACACTGTCTTGAATCCTGACTGCTCTATCGGTACTATATTATTATTTTCTGCTAAAGATTGAATACGTATTAATATAATATTTTCGTATGGTTTTGAATGAGTCGCTAAAAGTGGGATTGGCCTAGTTTGATCGCTATGTGGTGTGCTAGACTTTACTTTGTTTAAAGTTATTATTTTTTCTATCTTCCAATCATCGAGTAGCATTTCTTTTTGAAGCCATTCATTAAAACATCTACTTAAGCATATTAGATAGCCTGGCGGTAGGTGTTTAATCATAAAATTGGAGATAACATCGCAATCTGCTGATTTTTTTTCGGTTTTAGTGTATCAAATATTTTTTGAGCTCGTAGGGACATACTAATTCCACTTTTTTACTCCATAATTTCACTTTGTCTAAAATGCAGTTATAATCTTTTTTCACTTGATTATCAAAGAAATCTGCCTGATTTAATATCGGAGGAGTAAATAGGCTTGAATAATAATCATACAATTCATTTGTTATTTCATATTACAAGGGTGTGAGTGTTATCTTGTTTTTATCCACACCCACACATTTGCCAGAACTGTCTTTTTCAAGCCGACCTTCTCGCTATTATCTATCTCTTACGAAAGACTTTCTTACACTTACGCAATCAAGTAACACAAAATGTTATTTAAGCCTTATTAACAACAAAAACAACACACAAAAGTCAGTTATTCATATGTTGCTGTGTTTTAACGTTTTAGAACGAAATGAAGCAAATAAAGGATCAAGTGATCGAATATATTTGCAATCCATACTATCAATATCACAATCGCTTAGTTCTATTAGATTGGCACATAAGTTTCAAGCGTTTTTTTGTGCTGTAGACAAGTTTGAGATTTTATATCTCGTGATTGGAAAGTGATAGAGGTCTGAAATTTTTAATGTAGATAGATCTCTATGACTTCTACCTATACTAAAAATTTCAGACCTCTATCACTTTCCAATCACGAGATATAAAGTCTCAAATTTGTCTACAGAACAAAAAAACGCTCAGAACTTATGTGCTAATGCAATAGATTGTTTCTAGCGAAAGAATATGCATGGAGTAGATTCGCTTATTCAACTAGTTTTTCTTCTTTCAATGGAGAATAAGAAAGAGAAAACCGAATATGCAACTTTTGAATATTGAGAGTAATATCGAAAAAGAATTCAAGTATTTCAAGGTCTCTTCTTTGTCCGATTTCTATTTCAAGTCGGCGTAGTTCTGGTAAGAGGATCATTGCTGATGGAATAACTATATCTATTCGACAGCCGTAGTTAATTTTTAATGATTTTAAATCAGGTAAGTGTTCAAGAATATGAATAAATCTATCCATACGGGATATGTTCATGGATAAAGTTTGAAATGTTCTATTTTCACGTTCTTCTAATTTCAATAGGTTTGACATACGATGTACTTGAAATGATTTTAAATGGTTGAATCGGTTCTCGTGTCCAAAGAGGACACGTTGAAAGAAAGAACAAAGTAAACCACATCCGTCATTTTCGAATGATAGGCGTGGAGAAAGGATATTGTAGTAGGATCAATAAATTGAGTAGCTATTTGTTCGTTGAAGTGAAAAAAGTGGAGAAATCGAAGATAGGTCGAGCTGTAGGCAGGAACACTGTGCGTGCGAGGTAAACGATCATCGTCACAAACATACAGTGAAACCTCTATATATGGGCACCTCTATAACAAGGGTACCTCGCTTACATGGGCACTCATCGAAACGACCGATCGATTTTTGCTGCAAATGAACCTCTTTAAGAAGGGCACCTCCAACCTCTGTCCATGGGCATTGATTTTTAGCCCATACTGTACTTTTACACCTCTCTTACATGGGCAGATATAATGAATATTTTCTTCAACATTGTTCTTTTTCTTGTCGTACTTTATTGTTCGAAGAAAGGGACAGAGAAAAGTTAGTCCGATGTAAAAAGGAAAATTAATCGTCGATACATTTTTCACTGTTCTATCAATGAGAACAAGAGTATAAATTGTCATGTTATCTGACATTACTCTTCAATATCATTAATAAATAACGATGTATCATTACCTCACGCTCGATGAGAAGATCGCATTGATCAACGACCATGCTGATGGCACTGGACTATCACAACACAAATTATGTGAGAAGTACAAGGTGTCAAAGGGTACTATATATAATATTCTTCAACGAAAAGACGAATGAAAACACGTCCACTACAACTCCACTGACTCATCATTGATTTAGAATTGAAACTGATTGATGCTTACATTGATTCAAAAACTAGCAAGCACAGTTCTATTATTGATTTCTTTCAAAAAGCTTGATTGTAAATACGAAAATAGAAAATAAACTAAGATCAAATAAGATATCAAAAAATTTAGAATAAAATATCGGATACACTCAAAGATATAAAGGTCGCTTTATCTATATACAGTAGGGTGCAAAAAAATTGCCGATAACTTTTCACATTTTTCTCTATTCATTGCTATCAAAGAAAATCTATTTTTTCATATAAAGTTTACACACATAGTATACTACAAAACTACAATACTTAATAATTTATTCTTTCTCCCTTTGAAGCAATAATTGCTAGACATCTCGATTGCATGGAATGCACCAAATTACTTATAATTGTGATATCGATTTTTTTCCACTCTTCATGTAAAAACTTGTCTAATTCCTGGATATTTGATGGTTTTCGTTTTTCAACATGTTGCTTAAGTATAGACGACATATTTTCTATGGGATTAAGGTCCAGACTATTACTTGGCCAGTCAATTACTTCCGGTACTTCATCTTCCAAAAATTGCTTTGCTATTCTACGGGTATGCTTCGGATCGTTGTCCTGTTGATATCGCCACCGACGTCCAAATTGCGTTCTCACTCCACTAAGAAGATGTTTTCGAAGTATATCAACATAAAGTGGACCATCCATCGTTGTTCGAAAAGAATAGCATGATATTTGACCCTTGATACTGAAAGCTCCCCACACCATTATTTTCTGTTTATTCTTCGAAATTCTTTTCTTTTCTTCTTGAGCATATTTGGACCAACGTCGAATGGTGTTTCTGAATAATTGGTAAGACGTTTCATCAGAGAATACTGTACGAGTCCAGTCGTCGTCTTTGTGTGCCAATGCCCATTGAACACGCCTTTCTTTTTGTTCATTTGTCAATATTGGAGTTCCTCGAGGTAAAACATTCTTATAACCTAATCGATGAAGCTGACGCCGCACAGTCCATCGTGAAACATTCAAATTTCTAGTTGATCGAAGTTTTTCGACGATTTCCTTGGCGGTAATTTCGTTATTTCTTCGAATCCATTGACCAATTGCCATCAGCTGAGATTTTCCGGGGTCGACCATTACCACGACGATGTTCCACATCACCTTCTTTCTGAATCTTCGCTAAATTATACTGAATAGTACGCACAGAAATCTTTGTTTATTGAGCAATTTCAGCAGCACAACGATGACCGAGATTATAATAATGTAAGATCACTGATCGGTGTGTTGATCGATGGTTAACCTTCACTCTCGGTGCCATTTATATCAAACTGACAAAGACTTCAGAAAAGATATTACCCGTCGTCATATTTATAGTACCTAAACTTCACATTCGACATAGTTCCAGAATGTTCTTCTTTATGTGAGTAGGAAAAAAAAATCTAGAAAGTTCGTATAGATATCGGCAATTTTTTTTGCACCCTACTGTATATAAAGAAGAATGTTTGTCTGTTTGTCTGTTTATCTGTTTGTCTGTTCGCTATGCATTCCCAAACGGTACGAGCAAATGCAACCAAACTTTCCAAGAATGTTCCTCTCACCCAGGGGAAGGTCGACGTCTACTTTTTTTTCAAAAAAGTTGGTCCTTCGCCCGGAAAAAACCTGCCTATATTGCTAACCAATCAGATTGCAGTATTCGGTACTGTAGAAGTACTGTTGAGTACCACTTCGTGAACACACAGAAATATGGAACCAGAAGTTTTCGAGGATGGTGAGTTCGAATCTGGTGTCCATTTGCCTCGAAATCTGATTGGTT